TCCTTGAAAATATCTCCTATTCCCATTTCATTCTGCTTAGGCTTTTTTCCTATCTTCAGAAGTTCTTCCTCATACTCAAATTCTTCTTTTGTTCTCCTTTTAACACATTTCTTTCGTGTCATCATTACTGTGTCACTTGCAATATAAATCTCTTTCCTGCTGTCTCATACAAGCTGAAATAGCAACCTTAAAACAGAGCCAGAAAAATACACTTTGTCACTGTAAACTCTGGTTTTCCAGTATGAAGTGCCTGCAGGATGGCTGGATTTTTTTTAGGTGGCAAACTTTAATACGACTTCGTATGTTGCAGAGAAGTGAGCACACTGACAGAACTTAGTAATGAACCCAAGGTTTCAGCCCTCCCATTCGAGATGGAATACACCTTTGCAGCTGCCAGTTCCTAGTTTTTAATTTTTCTATGATGTTTTCATTCTCTTTAGCTTTCTCCAGTATCCTTTCAAGCAGTTATTCAGGACTGCTGATTTTGAAGGCAAGGGAAACATGTTAAAGCTCACCTAAGTTAGAGATGTGATTTGATACAGTGTCCTCTTGAAAATCATAAATTAAGCTGAAGAATAGAGGGACAACTAGAGGGAAACATGATGGATAAAGAACTCAATTAAGGAGAGAAAGCAAACGGCAGTATTAAAAGGAGGTGTCAGGTTGAAGGTAGCTTGCTAATAACATTTCTCAGCAGATGATTTTTATGGTAATTCTGTTTTAACAGTTTTACTAATGGCATTGGCATTTGTATCAGGAGCATGTAAGAAAAATCATTAAAAGCAGGAAGAATATAGCATTACTAATATAAAGAATGGAAATGTCACACAAAAAGAACCAGGTGACCGTGATGAGTAGAAGGGTAGAAGTGTGCTGAAATTCAGCAGCTCAAAATGTAAGAACAATAAAAATAGGTAATACAAGAAATTTAGGCTGGAAATTAGAATAGAGAATCTTGTCTCAATCAGGATTAAGCCTTTCAATAAGGTGGATGATTTTTTGGTGCTCAGATTATTTATGAAAAGTGTTTCATGATACAATGTCTGCAAAAAAGACAATTCAATGCAGTGGTGTAGGGGTCCTTTCTGAGGTTTTGTTTCTACCCTCACATAAATAGGCTATATCTCAATATAAACATGACTTTGTAGAAAAAAGGATGGGTACGCATCTTTAATGAAACCATTAGTTGGTGTTTAAAGGATGTGATAGAGTCATCCAGCTTGCAGAACAAACACCGTTGGCCAAATCCTCAACTGATAATAAATCATCACTGAACTTAACAAGCTGTCGTGTATTACATCAGTCAGGCTGTAAACTTTAAACTTGGTATAGCAGCGTCTGTGTGCAAAGTAAGTAGATCTTCATCCTTGTAGAATGTGAGCTGTAAAGGATGAGGGGAAAAGGGATTTACACTGGATGCCAAAGTGCCTTGAGTAGTACTTCTTTCAGGGTAGCACTGTGACGCCACGTGTAGCGAAGTGCAAAGGCCCCCCACTTCTCAGTATAGAAATAGATACAGAATATTTTGTATTCTGTTCTGCATGCTGAACTTGGCCTCTTGCTCTCTTCCTCATGAGAAGAATAAAATAAGTTTACTGTTTATTTACGCTTAAGTGGCATTTTCCTGCTATTCAAAACAAAAATAGATCATTGACTGCAAATGGTAGGTTGTATGCCCTCTTTTTCATACTTTGCAGAGAGCAGATAAGGGACTGCTGTGAAAACACGCTTATAACCTCACTTTTATATGGTTAAAATCGCAGTCATACCTTGTTTATTGCTTAGCTTTAGCATAGTACTTTTCTTCCTAGCACTTTCTTACTCAATACAAATATAAGGCGGCATGAGAAGATTCCCTAC